CCCAAACCCAAACCCAAACCCAAACCCAAAAAAAAATTTTTTTTTTGGTTTGACAATATAATAATAAAAATATATCGTATTGATATGTTTGATTTAATCATGACATTGAAAAAAAATCAGGTAAGAATTATGCTTACTTTTATTGAATTTCCTTTTTCTCTTATTCTGATTTTGAAAAAAACATAGGATTTTAAACACTATCTTCTGTACTTGGATTGTCAAATCTATTCTAAATTTTTTGTAAAATCTCAAATGGATCAAACTTTCTTTTGTTCCAAACATATGGTAAAAATATGGGGTGACACAATGAATGGTCTAGAAAGAAAGAACTTTTTACCCCCATAAATATTTTCATGTTGGATAACCCTATCGACCTAACCTCCTGATTCTACAGGATTAAAATAGAATTCTGGAGCTCTAACAGGATGATCTGATTAAAATATCAAAACACCTGAAAAGTATATACTAACCTTACCACCAATTGTTTTTCCTTTAAAATTCTTTTTACCCTCAAATTCAAAATTCCAACATTATCCTATTGTTATATCTTCATTTATATATTCAAATAAATTATATTCGACCTCATTCGATAGAATCTCCATAAGGGTCTGGTTTAATAGTTCAAAAAAATATTCTTATTTCTATGAAATAAATATCTTAAATACATCTTAATCAACTTATTAGATTATTTTTTAAATTTTGGTTAGCTTTTGTTAAGGGTTGTTTGAACTAGAAGAAGGAATATTCAAATTTTTATTCATTATAATAATATATAAAAATATGAATAGAAAGCATAAAATTATCCTATGTTAAGGGATTTGTTATTAACTGGCTTGGTTTAATTTTGAGCTTCATATAGTCACCTGTTAGTTCTCAACCTTAGAATGATGAGTGTTTAAATAAATCTTCTTTTAACTTTTGAACTACTTTTTTAATTCAATATCCTTTTCAATATATACCTAATTCCATAATGCTGTAGCTCAAATGATTGAAATTATTAGAATATTAAATTGTCCATAATTAGATTTTCATAATTGACTAGTGAAATATCAAAAAATCATAATTATACATTATTAATTGTTTGATATAATTCTTCAAATATTCAAATGCCTTAATATTTATTATTTAATGATATAAATATTTTTATATTATTATCTAAATATAATAGATAAAGGATAGTTAGCCAAAGTTTTAATGATTTTTCATTTAAATAATATCTTATAGATATATTCACTTCAAAAATACAATTTCTAAGATGAATATTAAAATTGTTTTTTGGTACAGTATTTGTGCTGTTTCAAATTGATCCTGCATTCTTATTGAGCACCTTTTAATAAATTAAATTTACCAAATCAACAAAAAAGAACCATAATGTTATGGATTTATAGCCAAAACTTTATCATGCTAATCTAATTCTTTTAAAAATTAATCCAATTAAAATATTTGACAAATCAAAAGGCATTGAAGTCTTGATTAAAAACCTTATCTCATCAATTCAAATAGAAAATATAATTAGCACATTCTTTAAATTTGTAATTAACTATCACCTAAAACTAGATTTTAATATATTTTAAGGTATTTCTTTTTTTGTTGATTTTGTTAGATTGCCATCAAATAAATTAATTCTAAGTTTTATTAGAGGGAGCATAATATTCTCATTCTATAAAGAGTCCATTTAATCAAAATAAAATTTTATTTTCAATTAACTCTATCTCTTTAATAATAAGTATGACAAACAGTGAAGAAATTTTATTTTTTAAAATTAAGAATAATTCCTAATAATTTTTTTAAACCTATATCTAATCTATATTCCTCTCAAATCAAACACTGCAGTGTCAACAAATTTGTACTATAAGTCATATTGTATATAAAGTGAACATAATTTTTTTTAGATTTGTATATAATTTGTTTATAATAAAAGCTTTAAAAACACCAAGAGTTCCATTATTTTTAACTATTTTTGATTTTGATTTTTTTGTTCTATAAAATTGTCTACAAATTTTAAATAAAATTGAATTTTAAATTAATTCAGAAAATTTGAAAATATATCAATCAAGTTTATTGTTAATTAATAATATAGAATTATTAAACATTTAAATAAATACTAATTTTGTGTTTTAATCAATGTTCTAAATTTAAACTCAATTCGGAAATTGAGAGAGAGAGAAATAATTTCGAGAAATTAGATTGTCCAAATTCATGATGACCTTTAAATCTCTTGAGATTATGCTCATATTTTCTTAGTAAAGCTAACAAAATATAATTTATCTAACAAACTCCTTTAGTTATTGAAATTTATTTATACTNTCAAATAAATTATATTCGACCTCATTCGATAGAATCTCCATAAGGGTCTGGTTTAATAGTTCAAAAAAATATTCTTATTTCTATGAAATAAATATCTTAAATACATCTTAATCAACTTATTAGATTATTTTTTAAATTTTGGTTAGCTTTTGTTAAGGGTTGTTTGAACTAGAAGAAGGAATATTCAAATTTTTATTCATTATAATAATATATAAAAATATGAATAGAAAGCATAAAATTATCCTATGTTAAGGGATTTGTTATTAACTGGCTTGGTTTAATTTTGAGCTTCATATAGTCACCTGTTAGTTCTCAACCTTAGAATGATGAGTGTTTAAATAAATCTTCTTTTAACTTTTGAACTACTTTTTTAATTCAATATCCTTTTCAATATATACCTAATTCCATAATGCTGTAGCTCAAATGATTGAAATTATTAGAATATTAAATTGTCCATAATTAGATTTTCATAATTGACTAGTGAAATATCAAAAAATCATAATTATACATTATTAATTGTTTGATATAATTCTTCAAATATTCAAATGCCTTAATATTTATTATTTAATGATATAAATATTTTTATATTATTATCTAAATATAATAGATAAAGGATAGTTAGCCAAAGTTTTAATGATTTTTCATTTAAATAATATCTTATAGATATATTCACTTCAAAAATACAATTTCTAAGATGAATATTAAAATTGTTTTTTGGTACAGTATTTGTGCTGTTTCAAATTGATCCTGCATTCTTATTGAGCACCTTTTAATAAATTAAATTTACCAAATCAACAAAAAAGAACCATAATGTTATGGATTTATAGCCAAAACTTTATCATGCTAATCTAATTCTTTTAAAAATTAATCCAATTAAAATATTTGACAAATCAAAAGGCATTGAAGTCTTGATTAAAAACCTTATCTCATCAATTCAAATAGAAAATATAATTAGCACATTCTTTAAATTTGTAATTAACTATCACCTAAAACTAGATTTTAATATATTTTAAGGTATTTCTTTTTTTGTTGATTTTGTTAGATTGCCATCAAATAAATTAATTCTAAGTTTTATTAGAGGGAGCATAATATTCTCATTCTATAAAGAGTCCATTTAATCAAAATAAAATTTTATTTTCAATTAACTCTATCTCTTTAATAATAAGTATGACAAACAGTGAAGAAATTTTATTTTTTAAAATTAAGAATAATTCCTAATAATTTTTTTAAACCTATATCTAATCTATATTCCTCTCAAATCAAACACTGCAGTGTCAACAAATTTGTACTATAAGTCATATTGTATATAAAGTGAACATAATTTTTTTTAGATTTGTATATAATTTGTTTATAATAAAAGCTTTAAAAACACCAAGAGTTCCATTATTTTTAACTATTTTTGATTTTGATTTTTTTGTTCTATAAAATTGTCTACAAATTTTAAATAAAATTGAATTTTAAATTAATTCAGAAAATTTGAAAATATATCAATCAAGTTTATTGTTAATTAATAATATAGAATTATTAAACATTTAAATAAATACTAATTTTGTGTTTTAATCAATGTTCTAAATTTAAACTCAATTCGGAAATTGAGAGAGAGAGAAATAATTTCGAGAAATTAGATTGTCCAAATTCATGATGACCTTTAAATCTCTTGAGATTATGCTCATATTTTCTTAGTAAAGCTAACAAAATATAATTTATCTAACAAACTCCTTTAGTTATTGAAATTTATTTATACTAAATTATCATACTCTTACAATAGTAAACGAAAATATGTAGTCGAAAAAACATATTTCAATTTCAGCCTATTTGAATTAAATTAATCTTCTTCCAAGATTAAAATTCATTTTTTGCAAAAATTTATTGATCACTTTTCAGTATTTTCAAATAGTTTAATTTTTTTTAAACTGTTATTTTTTTAGATAATGATGTATTTATCTTTAAATTTGTAATTAGTATAATTAATTTGATTTTTTAAATAAATTCTTTAAGTAACTTCCAAATTTTCTCTATTAGATTTAATTCTTTGAGTAACCTGGTCAAGATAATGCGTTGATCTAATCAAAAAAATGATACTATATTAGTTTACTATGATTTATTGGACAAATATCAAGCATCAACACAAAATTTTGAGGTTGATAATATTTTTTCCTTAAAACATCCCCAAAGCACTCCATTATTTTTTAAAGACCATCATCATCTAGGTTTTCTAGTAAAAGTTGTTTCATCAATTTAAAGCAATTTTACTTTTTTATTTTACGTAAAATAGAAGTTAAAGGCAGTAATCTTTTTATTTTTAATGAAAATCGGGACTCAAAACAATAATGTAAGTTCTTAAATTCTATTTACCTATTCTACTTGTTTATACTTTAAATTTATTAAAATTATTTTTAGGAATAAAAAATCTAATTAGAAGAAGCCAATAGACTAGGAGGATGATAAAAATTAATGTACTCAGCTTTGAAATTAAAATGTATTACCTCCCTACATTCAATTCTCCATGCATAACAAATGAATATTTGCTTTCAAGTAGCTTTGAAAAATGTTTTTTTTTGATCTAAGTTCCATAAAGCAAAAGTGATGAAGAAAAACAAATCTCAAAAAATAAATTAGCTATTATCTGTTAGGCAACTATTCTGAAGTGAATCCTAAATCTCTTATTCTTATCCAACAATGCGGAAAAATTCTTTATAAAATATTGCATTTCCTTCAATCAACTAACTTTCAAATTTAACTTAATAAGATTTTATGTAAGAATTAAATAGTAGGAAAATCTGGAACTGAATACATTATTATTTAGAATCAAATGTTTAAGATTTTTTAAAACAACAGAAGAACAAATATTCAAGCAACAATTGCAAAGGCTTAATAGAAAAACTGAAAACTTATATTGGGGAGGAGACCATTAAGAATACCAATAAGATTGGAAAGTTAGAAAAACTCATAAGAAAATTAGATTAAACATAATAAATCTAAATCCAAGAAAATATCATAATTCAAAATTCTAATTTGTTTTAATAAAACTTTGACTTATACTGATATATTTTTTTTTTTATTTTAACATTATTGAATTAAAGATTAGAATGTAAATTAAGTATTTAAAGAGAAAAAGTATTCATCTTAATATAATTGAATGTTGCAATTTTGTTTTTGAATTCAATCTATAATATTGAACTTTAAAAATAGTAAGTACAGTATAAAAATCTTGAACGCGGTATTGTTCTAAACACATTGAGAAAAGTATAATTTATAGATTTTGATTTTTTTAGAAATTTAAGAATAATCTAATCATCAAGAACAATCTTAATCAAGTTATTGAAAAACATAAATGTGTGAGTGGGATTTTTGGGTTTTTAACAATTTATACTTCTAGAATCAAAAGAGGTACACAGAAATAAGTTTAATAGTATTGATATCTTAATATATAGTTATAAAAACAGTGGATAAGTAAATTTTAGAAAAATAAAAATACAATTTAAGAACAAAGCTATTTTTCAAAAATGTTGGACTAAATTTAGATAATTGTATATGGGTCTGAAAGTGGGGAGGAGATAGAATGAAAAAAAGCTAAAGCCCAAATTTGATTACAATATTTTTTGGGACTCAAAAATGTTTTGCTCATCAACCATAATTTTTTGTAGATCAAATTTTTAAAGCTTGAGATTTTTAAATTTTAAAGCTATATTTCTAGCATGATAAAATATGCTATCACTCTTAAAGTATTGTATAAACTAAGCTGATCAGATTATATTATATTTTTATTTTAAGCTTTAGAATAGCTACCTAGCATAATCGCATAATCGAAAAAGCTAAATTAAAATAAAAAGGATTAGAAAAATCTTTTAAAAAAATAAAAGATACTAATTTAAACGATGTTAATTGGTACAAAAAAAGCAAAAAATAATTCAATTAAGCATTCCACTAGAGAATTTAGAAGTTAACATAATCCATTTTTAAGTCAAGAAAACAATTAACTGTTTTGATAAATTAAACCTTNGAAAATTAGATTAAACATAATAAATCTAAATCCAAGAAAATATCATAATTCAAAATTCTAATTTGTTTTAATAAAACTTTGACTTATACTGATATATTTTTTTTTTTATTTTAACATTATTGAATTAAAGATTAGAATGTAAATTAAGTATTTAAAGAGAAAAAGTATTCATCTTAATATAATTGAATGTTGCAATTTTGTTTTTGAATTCAATCTATAATATTGAACTTTAAAAATAGTAAGTACAGTATAAAAATCTTGAACGCGGTATTGTTCTAAACACATTGAGAAAAGTATAATTTATAGATTTTGATTTTTTTAGAAATTTAAGAATAATCTAATCATCAAGAACAATCTTAATCAAGTTATTGAAAAACATAAATGTGTGAGTGGGATTTTTGGGTTTTTAACAATTTATACTTCTAGAATCAAAAGAGGTACACAGAAATAAGTTTAATAGTATTGATATCTTAATATATAGTTATATAATATTGATAAATGTTAATTTTCATATTCTTTTAATGAATATTGTTATAAAATGAATTAATGAGGTTTTTGGTATGATTTTTTGGCTTTGCAATATTCTTTTAAATTTATTTAAAATTTTGCAGCATTGGCTAAAGTTTAGCGATGTACTTTAAATCAAATTATTCTATAAAACCTCTCTATATATTTCTCTCTAGAAATAGGAAAGGATTAATTTTATTCCCTTACTACATCACAGAAGGCGTATTGATATTTATTGATAATTTCATCATTTGTTAATTTAAGAATAGATAAGAAAGCATGAATTAAAATAATTATTTGGTTTTTTTAAAGTATTTTAAATGCAATTGCTATTGGGGCTTAAGAACATAAAAGTGAGAATTTCCAAATCCATAATCAGTATTCAAAAAAACAACCTTTATTTTATATGACTATTCATATAACTTAAATATTTCGGTTTTTTTATGACCAAATAATTTTAAAGTAAAGAATGATTTAGTCTTGTAAGTAATAGTAGAATTGAAATAAGAAGAAATCATTTATGTGTTTTCGATTTATTTTTCTAATTATTTTGATTTTCTTTCTGTTACTTTTGGTGACTTTTTCATTTTTTTAACTTTTCCGTTCTTCCTATTTTGAATTAAATTCAATAGATGTTTAACAAGTCATTTTTGTTTCTGATATTTAATTTTAATTTCTTTAATAGGTTATTCTGATATTTTTCTTTGAATATAATTACAGCAAATTTAGTAAAATTGATATATTAGACTTTAGGCTAGTTTTTTGGTGATTATTATTCTCTACTTAATTCATAACTTATCATTAATTATCATGTCTGGTATTAGGGTTCTGAATATAGTTTTAGGTTGTTCTTCAAAAGTAGGCTTTGGTGAAACAATTATCAAAGACCTAAAAAGACTTTCAACTTATTCTTTTTAAATCCTTTTATATGCAAATTCAGTATCTTTTTTAGAAAGTTAACAGTCTTGGATAGAAAAGATTGATACTTCGAAGACTTTGGATTTTAGATTAATAGTCTTTGGCCTTGAAATTTACAGATATTTATATATTTTTAAAAAGCCTTGAACTTATTTGAAATTTATTGATAAAAAGAGGTTATTAAAGTATTAGATATTAATTATTGATAAAAGAAAAAAGATTAATACTCTCTTCTGATTTCATTAATTCGGTATTACTTTCTCTTCTTACTTGTTATCTTCCCTTTTTTCTTCATCAATAAACACTTGATGTTTACTTTCTTCATCACATTTTGTATTCTTTTCTCGTGGTCTTCCTCGACTACCATAATGTTTATCGCTTGGAATTTATGTACCAGTTGGAGGTTATCCTTCATGTTTAATTCTGACATATATAAATTAAATACTTCAAATGAGTATATAATGCTGGATAACTATAATAACCTCGTCCACAACCACATTTATATGGCCGAGGATTTTCATCATGTTTTGTACATCTTCTAATACGTTTCTTTGCACTTGGCTGATCTTATTACTCAGACATCTCTATATTTAATTTAATTTTATATATCAAAATCTCATTATTATTTACTTTATATGTAACGATTCCTTGTATTATTTTAGTTTTTTCATCTTTGCTCAAACTATCACTTTCCTATTTCTTCTCGATTTCTGATTTAGATTTGTCCATTTTTTTAGATTCATTTTTATTAATAAGTTTCTAGTTTTCTTCTTGACTCTTTTTCTACAATCTATTTAACATTACCCATATCATTTTTAATAATTTGGAAATCCCTTTTTCTTTCTTAATGATGATAGTCCTTTATTTCTTAATTTATACGTAATTCTATTTTAATCTATGTCTATAAATTGATTCATCGCATTTCTCTATATACGTCTCTTTACTCATTTTAATACCTCTTTCACATTCATTCTTAATTCAGTTGCTTCTTTTTCTAGCTCTTCAATTTGATTTCTGATTATTTAAGTATTGCATTAGCTTTTTCATTTTATTTTTTTGGATTTGAATCCCTAATAATCATATATTGATAGATCTTTCAATCAATTAGATGATACTTATTATTAGATCTCTTTATTGATTTCAATATTATCTCCTAAACTTACTTAAATATATATAAGACATAAATAAAAAAAATTTTCATTGATTTTTAATACTTCTTTCTCTCTAACCCTAATTAAAGAATCAAATAGTAAGAAGATAGAGATTGATAATTTTAAGTTAAGTTATTGAGCAAATTAAACTCATGTATAATTAGAGAAATCGTTCATGAAAATGGTATTCTCAATATTTTAATTTACTCATGGGTATTTTTTATTCAATTATCCATATCCAATTACCTTTTGAACCAAAGGAATATCGAATTCACAAATTTAATCTTTGAATTATCTTTAAGGATGATATAATACAAAATTTAGGATTCATTTTGTCAAGAATGTTATATGAATGTGTAGATTCCCTTTTCTTTATTTGTTTTTAATTCAAATCACTAATTTTCTGATAAACTTGCCAAATTTAGTAATTCTATTCTTTTTAATTGTAAAATTTAGATTAGGTATACATATAAATTTTCCTTATTATTTCAAGAGGAGATTGGATGTTTGAAATTTTCAATATAAATTCATAAATAAAGGTTAAGAAGTAGATTTCATTTCAGTTTTAGGCGAAACTTTGGGTTTATTAAATTGAATAGAGCTACTTATGGATTCAATTATTTTGAATTTTTACAATTGATGTATTCCTGAAATTGGTCAAAGAACATACGGATCTTTTAATTTAGTTTAATATCCTTCTATCAATGAATTAATTGGAACAAATAAAAGATCACATCATACTGAATAACACTCGGCTTATTTCCTGTAACTGGATTACAACAATAATTTCAATTCTCCAAATTATCAATCTTTTGATAACATGTTTGAAATGACTAATTTCTTTCGATATTTCACCTTGTGGTTATGTTTGCAATTAAATTAACTTTTTAATGCATATCTCTCCCTCCTATACTTGATTGAATCCTATAATTTGTTCACCAAAACTGGTTGTACTTTTTATCATTTAGTTCGAGATGATTGATGGATTAGCATCGACACCAGAACTAACTTTGCTTAAAGATTCCAATACTTAATATTAACATAAACTATAGTAATTTTCTTGATTTAATAAAATATAGAATACTTATTATTTTTTTTTTTTTAAATCTTTGATAATGGTAAAAGTACAATGAGATAATGCCAATATTTAATAAATTTCTTTATCATTTGCCAAGAATCCTAAACCATAATATAATGGTTAATCTACGGAAAATACAAATTCTTGAATTACTTTTAGCTTTCCCTTTAATTAAAGTAATGTACAATCCAACATATTTTCCTTCTTAATTAGTAGTTATACCCAAGCCATCTTCAAATTAATGTATAATTTTGATCATTACAGTTTGCCAACAAAGTAAACTAAAATCTAATCTTATTAACTTTTCATTGTTTAGATTGACTATAATTTTAGCTTACTAATAAATTAAATCAATTAAAATACTTCAATGATTAATGATTGTCTCTTTAAGTAACATATACTTTATTAAAAATTGCAATAAAATTATTTACTATTTCTATTTTTTTCAAAAGAAGTAAACATATTGATAATCCAAAGAATATTTTAAGAATAAAAAAAATAATGATATTTAGATATATAGAATGATAGTAAATATCAGTTATTGAAATCATCAAAATAGGCATGCTTTAATGCTTCCTCTGCAGTGATTCTTGCATAAGGATTATAAACTATCATTTTAGAAAGGAGGTCTAATCCTAATGGACATAAATTAGAAATATCTTTTCCTAAAGTAGCTGCTGGATTAGTAGGTGTTGACCATCTTGGGAAAGTACTCTTAAAGTCTGGTAAGGTACTCACACCTGGCCAAGTAGATTCTTTTGGAGTACCCATAATCTTAAATATTTTAAATATCTAATCGATTTCTGAATCTCCACAAAATAATGGTCTTTTTTGAGCCATTTCAGCAAAGATACATCCTAATGACCAAATATCAACTGGAGTTGAATATTATCTTTATCCAAGCAAAATCTCAGGTGCTCTATACCATAATGTAATGACTTCATGTGTATAGGTTTTTAAAGGCAAACCAAATGCTCTGGCTAATCCAAAGTCTGCTATTTAAGTATTTTATTATTAGATATCTACAAGTATGTTTTATGGTTTTAAATCTCTGTGAATAACACGATTTTAATGACAATAATTTAGAGCTTATAACATTTGATTTATGAATTTCTTCACTTACATTCTATCTAACTAAGGTACAATTTCCATATATTTTTTAAGATCTAAATCTACAAAATCAAATATTAAATATAATCTTGATTCATCATAAACTATATCTTTTAAGGGAACTATATTTGGATGTTGAACCTTATTTAATTAATTTATTCTTACTTCTTTCAACAATGAAATTTCTCTAATGGCAGTCGATGGAGTACCTTCATCTTCATGATCCATTCTAATTTTTTTTAATGCAACAATCTCACCAGTTTGATTATCTCTTGCTTTATAAACTAATCCATAAGTTCCTTCTCCTATTTTTTCTAATTTTTAATATCTTTCTTCGCTTTGAGCAAAATCCATAATTAACAGTAATTCGTTAATTTTAATAATTATATATTCCCGTATTTATTATGAAACTTTAATATTAATTCAAATTTGGATTAAAATTTTAAGTAAGAAAATTGATCAAATATCTTAAGGTGGTAAAAAATTTTTTTCTTATTGTTAAAACTTATTCATTCCATGTCTAATAGCTCTCTGACAACAAAAAAACTTAGAAATGAATAAATATTTTGTCGACATTGTGGTGGATTTTTTAATTATTGTTTTATTATTAAAATAATGGTTCAAATTTAGACAATAGCATAACGATTTCGATATGATCCTCCTAATTTTTAGACTTTTGCATTTGGATATTTAAATACAGTGGCAATATCACTGGCAATAATCCCAGTAGAGAGATCTTCATTTCCATCTCCAAAGAATTTCTTTCTGTAATAGAGTTTACCATCTTCAGTAGCAACTACAATACATCTATAGCAACAACCGATCTATGTAATTTTGGCTATACCTTCTGGAAGAGGAAATCTGAATAAAATAAAATTTGAATTTACCTCACAGGAGAATATTCGGCTTTGCTACCAGACCAATAAACTTCGTTATTATCTAAAAGTACAGCTATAAGATCTTCTCCAACTACAAAATCTACAATTTTGTTATTTCCAAATTTGTCTTTTACGACTTGAGTTGGAAAATTTGCAGTTTCATAAATCTCTACTCCAATTTCATTTTTGATACCCATTTAACCAAAGTCATTACTTCCCCATCCATATAGATTACCATCACTCATTAAAGCAATTGAATAATTATTGCAAGACTTTAATTTCACTATGGAGAGTTTCAATTTACTCTTCAAGTAATCTTCGAAAAATTCATTTCTAATTGGAAAGTTATGTGATTTATTATTTCCATCTCCAAAAACACCGTAATCCCCTTTACCCCATACATATAATTCATTATTTTCATTAATAGCATTTGTAAATCTTAATCCTGATTAAATATATTAAATTTTCTTAAGTGATCTTAATGTTTTAACAGGAGTTGGAGAGTATCTATTTTTTGAATCGCCATGACCTAGTGCTCCAACTTATAAAAATAATAAATCCATCAAAAAATTTTATTCTTTACCACCATATCCCCATGTCCAAACATCCCCATCATTTGTTAATGCTACTGTATGATAATCTCCTAATGCAATTTATTTAACTTTGAGATTGTGTTTTGTAAAGAATTCAACTAATTAAGGTGTATTATAATCCTTATCTAATTTGTAATCAAATCAATACCATTGTTATGTCCTAATTATCCACTATTTCCTGTTCCCCATGTATAGAGCTATCCATCGCCTGTGATTAATGCTGAATGATTTTAACCCATTTCAACTTATGCTACATTATTATTAAATCCTTCCACTAATTAAGGCATTGAAACTCCTTTCATTTGCTATTGACTTCCTATTGTGTATCCTAAACTTCCATTTGACTAACCCCAAGTAAACAAAGAACCTGTACTAAATAAGTACCTTCTAACACTATTAAACATAAATTAATTATTATTTAATTAATTATGGTGGAGTGTTAATAATTTTTATAATATTAATTATCTAAACATCTTTTTGTGATACTTATATATCCTAATTTATATGTTTTAAAAGAGATTAATTAATAAGAGAATATTTTTTAAAATATGATAAAGTTATTCTAAAAATTTAATCGAAGCCTCTTCCAATTTTCGAAAGAAGTTTAGCTAAAGCAAAGTGAAACATAAGGCAAAGGATTTTATTAATAGTAAATATTTACAGGATGTTTGGCTGAATATGCTTATTATATTGAATCAAACAAGGAAGCAATCATCATTGATCCTCTTAGAGATGTTCAACCATATCTGTAAATATAGGATTTTTATGTTTTAGTAATATAGCAAAAGAAAGAGGAGCAAAAATAAAGTATGTTTTACTAACACATTTCCATGCAGATTTCATTGCTGGACATTTAAGTTTGTAGAGAGAAACAGATGCTTAAATAATAATGGGTCCAAAAGCAAGTGCACCATTTGTTAATAAAGTGTTGAATGATAATGAATATCTAAAGGTAGGAAAAATTAAGATTTAAGCTTTACACACTCCAGGACATACATAAGAATCAACATGTTTTTTATTATATGATGAAGATGGTAAATAACACAGGTAATAACAATAATAACAATATTTATAGTGTTTATACAGGTGATACTTTATTCTTGGGTGAAGTTGGTAGACCTGATTTGGCAGTCAAGAGTGATGTTACTTAATATGATTTAGCATCAATGCTCTATGCTTCCCTTAGATAGAAAATATTAGGATTGCCTGAAGATGTTATAGTATTCCCTGGTCATGGTGCTGGTTCAGCATGTGGTAAAAACATTTCCTCAGGCTATAGTTGTACTATTGGAAATCAGAAGAAAAATAATTATGCTTTATAAGAAATGGATCAAGAAACATTTGTGCAATTAGTAGCAAGTGATTTACCTAAACCACCGTAATATTTTTTCTATAATGCTGGATTAAACAAAACAAATCAATTTTAAGATCTTAATTTGATTTTAAAGAAAGCAAATACTAAATTAACTTCTGCTTAAGTTATTTCTAGATAAGGAATTTAGATTATTGATTCTAGAAATTCTATTTCTAATGGATTCATTCCTGGATCTATAAATGTACCTCTTTAAATCCCATTTGCTCATTGGGTTGGAACTCTATTACCACATGATAGAGAAATTGTTATTGTTTGTGAACCAGGAAATGAAGAATAAACAATAATGAGATTATCTCGAATTGGATATGATAATATTGTAGGATATATACATTTTGAGGATTGGAAATCATCAGGAAATTCTATAAGCAAACCAATAGAGTTAGAAGTTTAAGATTTCTTGAAGAGAAGCAAACTTGCATAAATTGTTGATGTTAGAACAAAAGAAGAATGGGGAAAAGGTATATTAAAACATGCATAATTAATTACACTTAGTGAATTACCATAAAATTTAGAGAAATTAGATAAATTAAGAGATATTAGCATTTATTGTGGAACTGGATAAAGAGCTAAAATAGCTCATACTTTATTAATAGCTAATGGATTCACAAGAGTTCAATATTGTAAAGTGGGATATGATGATATCATTAAGTGAAGTTTTATATTTATTATAATGATAAAATCTTTTAGTATATTTATTTTGTTTTTATATAATAATCAGTTTCAGTTCGCAAACCCTCATTATTATCTGGCCTACGCTTTTTCTGGATTATTCTACAACAAATAGTTAGCAATGAATTCAATAGGGTTAGGAGGTCTTGATTAAATTATACAATACTCACCTCACTTTAGCGACTTCTGTCATTGCTTAAAGTAGGATTGGAACAACTGTTTAATCCAGATAATTTCTAATAGGAAGCTATTGCAATTGCTTCATTCTCTAAAAGAGATATATAATCTTAATTACCTCCTCTTCGCTTGACATATATTATTTTTATTTGAAATTTAATTAATATCATTTATTTAATAAAAATGCAATTAGAAATACAATAAATCCAGCCATGGTTCCGAAGCTTGAAAAATAGTACGGTAAGGCTTAAACCAAATATCTTCCGTATTCATCATGTCTAAATGGTCTCACAGTTATTTTTTCAGCTACTTTTAAAAATGTATATCCAGGTTTTAAATAATTTATTTTAAATTAAAATACACCATATACATCTGGAATCTATTATATTATCGTTTAATAATTACTTTAAAAGATAATTCATATTTGGGTCCTTTTCCTTTCTTTAATGGTACTCTATAATATGGATCCAACATTACAAATTCTAATAAAACATCATTATCTGTAGAAATATAAGGAATCCATTAATCATTTTGATAATCCCATTCGTAAATATCAATAGAGAAATAGCAATCTTCTCTCAATCTATAATTATAAGGTTTGATATCATCTGAATCTAATCTTCTATGTGTTAAATTTTCTGCCTTTAATATTTTTGATTATCCAAATCCCCACCTAATGATTTCCTCTGCTAGCATCTAATTACCCAAATTTGAATTATTCAAAAATTCATCACTTAACATTTCCCAAGATCCTGTTGCCACAAATCTTGCATTATTTCTACCTTAAGTGGCTCCAACATATATAATATTATGACTTAAATTAGGACCTGAAAATGCTGTTTCTGATCCTCTCACTAAACCAAATACTTAAAATGTTTCATAAGGGGTCATTGATAATCCTGCTCCTTAATAAGCAATTGGTTTATCTACTTTCACGATATTCATATTACTCGTTGTTACCACATTTTAATTACCTTTAATATTATTGAAATAATCTACTACAGATGAACCCTAATTATTCATTTTTCATATTACATATTCATGCATATCCAATCCAAAACTATTTAAAAACTTTCTAAAGTATTTAGATTAGTCTGTAGAACCCAATAATAATATATTTCTCCCAGAATCATAAAAGTCCAATAATTCTTACATGCTTACTTTTAAATCAACTGTACTGCTAAATAAAATTAAATGATCATATTGCCATTCTCCAAACAACTACAAATTGAATGTATTTGATTAGATATTTTTATAATCAACTCTATATTACTTACTCAATAAATTAAAAAACTGAGAATGGGAAACATAGACTGCTGGATTATCAGAAAGTACTAACACTTTCTTTTAATTATAAGGAGTCCCTGCCAATACTACCCCAAGTATTAGAATTAAAAAATTTATCATAAATTAATTAAAGAACTTCATTCAATATCTTAAAGTACATTCAACTTATTTATTTCATCAAATAGTTCTTCAAGTACCCAAGATTGAGATTCAGATATTGCTTGTATTGATGATAATTATTCTTCAACTTCAACTGCATCGCTTTCCATTTACTCAACATATTATTAATTTTCTTAAAGCTTACTTTTCTATTTAGTTCTCTTTTTTTTTATTCCTTTATCTGAATTATTTTAAATGTATTTCTCTCCTACCTCACTTACAATCACTTTACGTATTTTATTACATAAATTCTCTATAGAATTAGACGATTCCTCTTGGTTTTGATTTTACTATGAGACTTTCCTTTTAGAAAGCATCTTTCTCTAATAATTATAAATTAATAAATTACAAAGTTTATTATTATCCCAAGATAAATTGTATCAATATCAAAATTATTTTTTAATTATATAAAATTTAATCACGGAAGAGACAATCCTCAATAAATCTGCAATAGCTTTGAATAATTGTGTAGTATATCTACACTACTCTAAGAAAATTGAACATCCTAATTACAAATTTTTATTCCTTATGAAATAGGATATTTGAGCAAAGTCTCATTGAATTCTTTGATTTTTTAACTAATTTATTTTTAATTTAGTTTTACATTGCGAATGTCTTATCAAGACATTTTTTTTATTCAATTAATTTTAAAATCTAATGGAATACTATTTTCAACAAATGAATCTACTTAATCTCTAATAAAAATTTTGATAGTTCACATACATTTATATTTACTAACATTGAATTAATTTCATCTAAAGAAATTTAATCTTCTTTCATTAATGCAAAAGTTAATTAAAATATTTCAATTAATTAAAATCTCTGTAAATACTGATATTATTTACAGTTTTTTGCTAAACTCTTTATTTTTGGGTGTAAAGTTTCTAAATTTCTTGCCAAATTCAATCTTTTATCAAGATTGGCTTCAAATTTTAATAAACAATATTAATTTGATATGAAATTTGATATTATTAAAACCAATTAAGTTTCATGATATAAATATATAGCTGTGACTATCAATGATTCTTAGTTTTAATTTAATAAAAATCTTATGTAATTACTCATTTCATCTAATTTCAATAAGATTGTTGTTTAGCAATCATAAATTTAATTTATTGTTGCAGCCAAAGGCAATTATTATTGTAAATCTTTCAATGCCATGTGTAAATTCTTCTCAAAATGCTAGCTAATCATTTTATTTATTATTTTGAGTAATTCATCAGCTCCAAATATATTTTCTAAGTTTTCTTTTATTACTTTATCTCTCAAAACTTAGGCTACATGATTGCTTCTTTATAATAAACTTGCAATCTATTCATAATTGTATTCGGAAATACCTAAAATCAAACATGAAATAAGTGGATATTTATTCTAAGTATAATTTACTAAATTATCAATTATCCATTTATGTTATTTTTCACTTTCTTAATTATTTTCTGATTTAATATTTAGAATTGTAATAACAGCATTTAAAATGAAATATTCAACCTATGAAAGACAAGAGTTCTGAATTTTGTATAATTCATTTAAAATGTAATCATATCTCTGCAAAAATATGTTTGTTCTCAAACATACAGAATTTTAAGGAATTACTTCATGTAATTCTGCTAAAGTCCAATGCGGGAATGATTTTTTTGATTCATATTCATGTCTTTCATAATTCACAAATTTTTCAGATACATGAGTAGTTTTCATAATCATCCAAAAAAAGAATTCTTTATCTTTTTGAAATTTTGTTTCTTCAAATATATCATATGCTTCACTTACGTCCATTAATAACCAATAACATTACCTTAAAATGATATCACAGCATTATTATCTATCTATTTCCTCAACATCAACTTAATTGATAATTCTTTTTTGTTAAGTTAATCCATTAACTAAATCGAAAAAATTTTAAAACTATTAAATTATCTTTTAATTATCAGATATTAGTGGATAGAGTAATTTTTCTGCTTCAGTCACTTTTCCAATTCTCATTAAAATAAGTAGTATTCCACTTGGGTAAAATTATCCTTATTAATATATTTCAATGTCATTTAATTAAGGAAGATAATATTCTTTAAATTTTCTATTTAAATTTTATAAATCTAAGTGTCCAATTTATTTTAACAAATCATTTTCTATATGAGTAACCGTATTTCTAATAATTTTTTCACTTATAATATAAATAAATTATTACCAAATATCTTCATGTGAGTAATTATACATTATATCTTTGAATTAATCGCCTAACAATTTCATTTCCAATTTATGAGCAGTTTCAAAAGTTTCTATAGTTCTAAAAAGCTTTTCATAAATTAATGAATTCTTCTTATTTTTGAGAAATTCTTAAAGAACTTAATATAAATGATGATCAATAAAAAGTTTTTCTAGGATGATTTCATTGTATTAATTAATCGAAATTTCATGTGTTACTAGATTTTCTATTCTATGAGATGTATTAAGGATGTTCGATAATTTACTTTTTTATCTATCAAGGCTTTTTTATTCGATTTTACTAAATGAATTAAAAATCTATTAGTTATTGTGAAGAATGTTACTTATTTATTTTAGAAGTTCTCTTTAGTGATATGTGAATAATTTTTGTAATCTTCAACTTTAATATTTGATTGATATTGCGATTATCTTTTTTTAATATCGTTATTAACTTTTTCAGTTAATCTTTTGATATGATCGCTCATGTAATCCACATTATGAATTGATAAATTGAATTTCTTAAATAAATAATCCACTTTTGATCCCATTTCGTCAATTAAATAGCCTATGTAGTAAAATAGTGCAAATTACATTGAGTTTTTTTGATAGGAACAAGGCAATCAAATCTTTTGTTGATTCTATTTAACATGTAATTACTTTAGATTGATATTGTTAGAATTGTATTTTCAAGTACCTATTTTTATTTTTCTGTTTCAACACTATTTTGAGAAACATATTTAATTTATTAAGAACTAGATCCAATAGATGTGTTTTTCATTTGATAATAATCTGCATAGCCTTTTTAGAGCATATATTTTTAATTTTTTAAATTAAACAAATTACTATAATTATTTATTTATCTTGTTTAACATTTCATAATTAATTGCGAACTTAATAATTTAATTAATTTATATGCATTCATAAATCACTTTATCAGAAATGTTCAGAAGTTATGAACAAGACTATAAGACTCATATGGAATCTGTTATGTATGATCTTTTAAAAATGAGTAAAGATAGAAGAGAAGATACAGACAAAAGTTTTTCTAAAGTTTCCGATGAACTTTAATAAACAGAACAATGTGTAATTGATTTCTATAGAATTTTTAGATAAAATAAATGGAATTGGAAGCTTCTACACTACCTAGTAGTTATAAAAAAGAATTAATGGAAACTATAAAGTAATATAAAAGAGATATGGCGAAAGTTGAAAAGGATTTTAAATAATTATAGTTAGATTAATAGGAAGATTCAAGCAGAGAAAAATTATTCAATGACAGATAAATTAATCAAGCCTTATTAAAATAAGAAGATCGTTTTATTAGACAAACATTAGAATTAGAAGCAGCAAAAAGAACTGCTTATTTGACAGAGTAATAAGCAAATTAAATATCAATTAATTTACATTCTTAATCAATGACATTAGATAATTCAATTCGAAAGACTTAATATATTAGAGAAGATTTGGGAGAATCAAATAGTTTAGTGAACATTATGAAAAACAGAATAATGAAAAGAAAATTTATAGTATATGGAGTTTTTGGTTTTCTAGCTCTATGTTTAGCTATTGCTATAATGAGTTGGTTTTTTTGATTAAGAATTTAGTTTTAATGTTTAATTATTATTATTAATTTTAAACTAAATGGCGGAATTCTTAGGAGATTTATTAAAATAGAAAAGAGATAACTTTAGAGTAGAATTAAAGAGAAAGGCAACAGAAGAGCTTTTCAAATAAAAGAGAAGAATATTTAATAACAATGAATAAATTTATTTAACAGATGAGAAAATTAATATTTGGTACATGAATTTAGTTAACTAAAAATATGAGGATACTTTAGATGAAATAAGATAATCTTTGTCAAACTCAACAATTGAAGTAATAGGATATATTTGATTATTAGTATAACATATTATTAATAAACAAACATGAAGTATATCAATTATTACTAAACATTTGGAATAAGCAAGAATTAGATTATATTATTATATAATAGTTACTTTATATATTTGCAAATTTACATTCTTACAATGTATTTGATGATTTGAAATTTTTGTAAAATGAAAAACTAATGGAAAGATTGTTCAATTTATTATAAATGACAACTTATTAGCAAATACAGTCTCAAATATTTTTTTTATTATCAAATCTGGTAGGCATGGATAATGGAGTTAAAGCTAGATAATTGGCAGATTATGGATTTTGTACTTTGATCAAAAAGATGTGGATGAATAAATTAATTTACTGCAAAGTATATGTATGAATTATATTTGAGATTGAAAATATTAAAGATTTTTGCTGGTTTTTGAGTAATTTTTTTTATTACAATTAAAATAATGTGGCTGGTTTTACATTGACTGAAGTAATTTACTTATGATTTATATAGGTCAGAGAAGTCTTACCAATTGTATTAGAATGTATTAAATATAATGATAAAGAAATAAAATTATATTCATTAATTACTTTAAAGAGTATGTGTTAAGCCAAAGAAGAAGTATATAGTATAATACTAAATAAACTAAAAATCTTTAATGATTTAATGAATATGCAAAGGACAAGTGATGATGAAGAAATTTCATTAAAAACACTTGAAATTATTGCATCTTTTGCTTTAGCAGATGATGAAATAACTACCCAATTAGTGAATGAATTCAAAATTCTAGATTTCTTTTTATAAATTTATATATAACCAGGCAGAAACAAATAAAAAGAATTCAAAAAAATAATATTATGGGGATTAAATAATTTGTGTTGTAATAATGATTTTCAAATATTACAAATAATAATAAAGCATGATCTTATTAAATATATTTAAAAAGATGAAAATGAAACAGAAATTATTAAAGATATTTTAGAAGTTATAAGAAGTCTTTCATAATTAAAAAATCCAGATTTACTAAAGTATGTATTGATGAGTGGAAATGTTGTAGATATAGTTATGAACCAATTAAAATTGAAAATATCTAAAGGGATAGTTTTGACATGTTTGAACATTGTTCATAATTTTGCCTATTAAATTGGTAAGCATTCTTAAAGTGATATAAATATGGCAATAGAGATGTTCATTTCTAAAGGGTTTGACAAAATACTTAATTAAATGGAGTTTGATCCTGATAATGATATAAATATTGAAGCTTAAAGATTGACAGAAACCTTTTTAATGTGAACTGATATTATAAATTGATTGACAATTTTAATTGAATTTATACACATTAATCATTCCTCTTTGTAATATGATTCTTTTAATGTTGGAATTGTATAAAAATTTTACCAAGTGAATTCAACTTCACATTTTGATTACCAAATATAGAATGAAAATAATCCTACTGTAGTATGCCACATTCCGTGATAAAATCTAAGATAATCTTTATATTCATCTTGAGATAAACTAAAAAACACAACTGCAGCCAATAATATAATTAGACCTTTTTTCATCTTAAATATTTAAAGATTAATACTTTTTATTTATTCAATTTAGGTAATCTTCTTCTTTTTATGATTATATAAAGGCAAATGCATGCTTAAATTATTATTGGACCAACAGTATAATTTAAATCCCAAGGAGATCTTGCCTAAGCTATGAATGTTACAAAAAGTCCAAAATAATTTAACATTGTCTCAAGATGCAAATTTTACAAATCACTTAATTATGTAAATAGCATCTAAAAACATGCTATTGATCCAATATTATCTAATCGATGCCAACCACTTTCTTCAATAATGAAATATTGACAATCTACACTTTCTAATGTGTGATACATGAAACTTGTTATCAATGTAAAGATGGAGATATAAAATTAGAAATCCATTCTTTGTTTTTTGATAATTATTATTGCTGGAATGACAACAAAGTTAGTTATTCCTGTTATTAATACCATCAAAAACATTTCAAATTAGTTGTATCCATATTTAGAATGCACTACATTTTATATATCTATCATTAAGTATTTAATTCATTTAAAATAAATGATTTTTGAATCCTTTTTAACTGCAAAAGTAATAAAGTAATAAGCATATCTTTCAATGTTATGATGAATATTTATGATAAATATCATATATAGATTAATTTCATAGTTGTAATGTTTTAATTATATATGTTGTATATGATATAAATAGGTTTATTTATATAAAATACAATTTAGTTGATTTTGAATCATACTCAATCAGACAAATAGACTTTAGGTACCTTTGAAGTGATTTTTAATAATAAGAGGTTAATTAAAAAAATAAATTAATTTTTAAAAACATGATGAAAGTACAAATTAAGACCTATAGTAGATAGAAGAAGTGAAATCGACCACAAAAACCTAGAGAATAGCACATCATAGTCATATAAAAGGATTAGGATTATAAGAAGATGGCACAGCTTTAGAAAATGCATCAGGAATGGTTGGTTAATAAATTGCCAGAGAAGTAAAATAAATAGTATTAATATTTAATAGGCAGCAGGAATATTTGTAGATTTAGTGAAATCTAAAAAGTTAGCAGGAAGGGCATTATTAATGGCTGGACCACCAGGAACAGGAAAGACAGCAATAGCATTGGCTGTAGCATAAGAATTAGGATCGAAAGTTCCATTCTATCCAATGGTTGGTTCAGAAGTTTATTCAGCTGAAGTGAAAAAGACAGAAATATTAATGGAGAATTTTAGAAGAGCAATAGGTTTAAGAATAAAAGAAACAAAAGAAGTTTGGGAAGGTGAAGTTATAGATTTAAAAACAGAAGAAAAAGATGATTAAACAGGGTAGATATATTAAGTTAATTTAGATATGGGAAAGTAGTATCAGCTGTAGTAATAACATTAAAAACATCTAAAGGATCTAAAACATTGAAATTAGATCCATCAATTCATGAAAATCTAACAAGAGAAAAAGTAGCAATAGGAGATGTTATATATATTGAAGCAAATAGTGGTAATGTAAAAAGAGTTGGAAGATGTGATATTTATAATAGTGAATATGATTTAGAAGCAGAAGAATATGTTCCATTACCAAAAGGAGATGTTCATAAAAAGAAAGAAATTGTTTAAGATGTTACTTTACATGATTTAGATGTAGCAAATGCTAAACCTTAAGGAGGTCATGATTTTGTCTCTTTAATGAATTAATTAAATAAGAAAAAGAAGACAGATATTACAGATAAGTTAAGAGGAGAAATAAATAAAGTAGTCAGCAAATATATTGATTAAGGAGTTGCAGAATTAGTACCAGGAGTATTATTTATTGATGAATGTCACATGTTAGATATTGAAGCATTCACATTTTTAAATAGAGCATTAGAATCTACTCTTGCTCCTATTGTTATTTTAGCAACAAATAGAGGTTATTCTTAAATTAGAGGAACAGACATAGTCAGTCCTCATGGATTACCAGTTGATTTATTAGATAGGTATTATAAATGGTTATATACTGTTTAGATTGTTAATCATTAGAACTACTCCTTACAATTTAGAAGATATTATTAAAATATTAGCTATCAGAGCTTAAACAGAGAGCTTGAAAATCTCAGAAGAAGCATTATAAGATCTCAGCTAAATTGGAAATGAAACTTCATTGAGGTATCATTTTATTATTAATTTTAGATTTGCTATTCTTCTACTCACCCCTGCAAATATACTTGCTTAAACTTCAGGAAGAGATGAAATTGCCAAACAAGATATTCAAGAAGTTCATGAATTATTCTTACATGCTAAATAAAGCTCAAAAGTGCTAGAATAACAAGCGGACAAATACATTAGTTGATGAGTATTATATATAATAACATAATAAATCCATTTGATCTTACTTAATTCTCTATTTTTATTAATTAATTTATCTATTTTTTTATGTTATATTTCTATAATTATGGAAATGCAAAATTAAATCACAAATATTTGCTTAATCCAAATTAATCTTTTAGGGTCAAGTATTCATTTCTTATATTCACTCCAATTTATCCTATTGCACTCTATGTACCATTATAAAGTGCACAATTATCAAATACTAATAACATATCTGAATGAAAATCTCTGCAAGATTTGTAAGCACTTACATTCAATTTATTCTAATTTATTATTTAATTTCATTATTACTTTTATTGTTCCAAAATCCATTGGTTTCTTAACAATTTCAAAATAATCATTTATATGATATTCTTTTTAATCAACTGGTTTATGGAAGAAATATGCACCCTTCGATTTCCATATTTAAGCTATATTTATATTTTATTTATATATATATCTATACCTATCAATTTTTTTGCTAATTTTTCCCAAGTCTCATCTTCTTTACATTAATTTATCATATTATCATCAATAATATCATCTGCATTTAATATTAATTAAGCTATTTCTGGATATTATCTTTGAAATTTCGAAAAATCTTCATTTGTTAATTCTCTTTATTGTCCTTTATCATCTGTATGTAATATTTTGTATTATTATTTTGGTACATCTTTTTATTTTTTTCTGATTTGCTTTTATTATTCAATTACTTTAACAACTTCTTCCTTTTTTTATTGTGTATCTTCTTTTTATTTTACCATATTTGCTGTTATCAAATCAATCACTTCTTTTTTCTAAGATTATTTTGCAAAATAAAGAGCAGTTTTTTTTTTATTATCTTAATGATTTACTGGGCACCCAGCCTAAATATAATGAAAATCATTATACTTCTATCAATAATTTACATGCTTCATAATTTCCTTTACTTGCAGCATAAAATAAAGCTGTTTAACATGATAATGAATCTAAATGAGCAACATCAACACCATATCTAATTAATCTAAAAAATATGATCATCAAACTTACTTTGAAATTATATCTATTCTATTTTCTCTTGATGCATAAAATAATGGAGTTTGACCATATGAATCAGGATCTGATATATTAATTTATTATGAGATTAGATAATCAAACAGTTTTGTTTTACCATCTCTGCATACATAAAATAAGATTGATTATTTAAGATTATCTTTATAATTTACATTTGCCCCTAATTCACATACCAGCTTTAGTAATTAAAGTGAAATTTCTTCATCGGACCCTTATATTGCAATAAATGTTGAAATTTATCTTGTTTATGGATCTATTCTGTTTACTAAATCTATTTCTTTTTAATATTTATCTAAGATTTAAGATTTTTTTGCATACTTAATATATGTTTTACTTTTTCAATGTGCTATAAATGTAAAGCTTACTTAAACTCTCCATAAATTGCATAAATTTATTCAGATGTCAATTTTTCTATGGGAATTTCTTATTCAACTGGTTAAAGCAATTATTGGAACTAATTAATATCTATATAGTTAATTATCTCACCTATTTCAGATTTGATTTAAGAGACTATTTAGTGGATCTATGAGTCATTATAATTTAAACTTTGTAAAATGTTTTCTACTTATATTTAATTTACTCTTTCATTTATTGCCGCCATTTTAAATCTAGTTAGAGCAGTTTATAGAAAATTTTATGAAATCATAATTATTAAATTAAATAATAAATGTAATTCTTAAGAAAATCAACTTATATTATAAGCATTTGATGTTTATTACATAAAATGTTGTTATTATACCAATTAGATAAATTAGTAAAATAAGATTAAATATATATTTGTTTTTCAATAAATTATATTTATCAATGTTTTTTAGCATATTTTAATGTATATTCTCTTGCTTTTATTAAAGCTTAAGCTTCATTAGATTTCCATAAATTAGCAGCTTCATTATTTAATGGATCATCCTTAAAATTATTTATTACAAATCATACTGGATTTGGTGAGCTCAATAACACCTAGATAGATAGCAAAATTGATCTTATTTATAATGCTGGTGACCATTTATCTTTTAATACATCTAAGCAGATTCTTCCTAAATTATCAATATTTGGATGATAAATCTTAGTATTAAAAACACATTTAGGTGGTGACTATAAATATAATCTAAATTAAACTACCATAGGATAATCATCAGGTAAGAGTAATTCAATATCGAATACACCTCCTTCATATGGTGTATTAGGAGGCCCGACTATTATTACAAAAAAATGTTTAAAATTTTAAGGATCTGGAGTCACATCTATTCCTTATACCTTATCTTTGGCTAAATTTTAAGTCTCTTTTATAATTCTTGGAGTTGGTTATGCCATAAATTGTTGAAATTATATTTTTATTAATAATTAATATTTATATAATATATAATATTTATACTCATTTTCAATTACTAATACAAAATAAAATCAATTAGTATCACAATTTATGTCTCAAAAAATAGAACTCCTTATTTTTAATACTATAAAAGCAACGTATTTTTTTAAGAATATTGTAATCAATTTTAATTGATATTTTTTTATCAAACTAATATGTTTCCCTTATTTAGCCTCTATGAACCCATCATAAGCTATGAATAACTATCACCAATTCTTTATTTCTAGAATTGATTAAAGCTTAAGATATCAAGATGGTATTTTTGTTGGAAACATTCATAATATTTTTATGATAAAAAAATTGTTTTCTCACAAACTTATTAGAGTCGTTTTTCATTTCATTTTCTTTATTTTGAAAGAAGATTAGTAAAATGTATTATTATTCGGGATTTAATTTTATTGTTGTTCTAAAACTATTTTGAATATTTTTTTTATTTCAATCAACAAAAGAGAATTTATAAATCAAAAAAAGACTATTCTCTTATTTTATCAATTATTAGGTTTTCCCTATTAAACAAATATTTAATTTTTTAAATATTTTTCTTCTCTTCATCCTTTATAATTTAAGATCTTCAATTTTTTTGTTTGTAAAATTTTAACCTCATTAGTAATTATTTTTACTTAAAAGAAGAAATGTATTAAATATGAATCAATGAAGGTGGCATATGATTAAAATTTTTATTATTAGACATATAATATACTAATTTGAAAAATTAGGATTTATCTTAATGGTTTTAAAATTTTTTTCTAATATAATCAAAATTAAGATTTTTTATATCCGATGATATAATTGATCTAATCTACTTAAATAGTTTATAAATTTTTTTTTATATGTCATATTATAAATTTCAAACAAACAATATCTTTACTTTATTCTTTATATTCAACAATATCAGCTTGTTCTTTCAAAAACGATTAATTGATATATCATTTAATATTAATTTTTTCGAAGAAAAATTGTAAAAGAGGTTTATTTTAAAGCTAAAAATGAGAAATAGATTTATTGAGTTTAAAAAAATAGTGAAATTAAGTCTTCAAGTTTATAATTTTCTTATTAAATGATTTGAAATATCAATATATTGATAAATTTATTAACTAATAAAAATGTTTAATAATTAAATGCAACAACCTAACACAACATATGGACCTGTACCAACATAAATGACCCAAAACTAAAATCGAAATCCTTAATATCCTTCTTAAATTCCAAATTAAAAGTAAATTTATCCATAAGTGGTACTTGTGATTTTAATAATTTATAGATTCCTCAATAATAAACTTAAACAATTACTTAAACTCCACTAATGAATTAATCTTAATAATAATAAATTAGACCAAATGAGATTTCAAATAGATTCGTACCTTAACAAGTAAAATTTATAAATTTTATATATAAAAATAGGAACCTAATAAATCAATAAGAAACTAAGTTTAACCCTTTTCATAGTCTCCATAAAAATTCATGAGAAATGATATTCCGAAATCTAATCGAAGCTAAAATAATTAATTTCCTTAGGATTCAGAATCACATAAAATTATTAATAACTTTACAGGTTAAAAACCAGCATTTGTTGAGTATTTTCAACCTGTTTATGTTCCTCATATTGAACCTATGATTACTTAAACTTTAGTTGATGATCCAATTAAAGTAGTGGAATTATAAAAATTTGAAGAAATGTGGAAGAAGAGGTTACAAGTAATTGAAGACCTATTAGCAACAAATAAAATACCAGTTGAAGCTGAAACAATAGAATTAAGGGCTGTATAAAATGATGATAATGAATAAGTAATTGAACTTTAAAATGAATTATTTCGAATAAAATAATAGTTAGAAGAGAGAGATAAAGAAATTATAGATCTTAAATCATAATTATAATCTGCAATTGAATAACTGGATTTTGAAAATTGTAAATATTATCATATTATAATTAGAATAAAATAAAAATTAAACTACTATGTAGATATCAGAATTGTAAATAAAAATAACTACTCTCTAATCAAATATTATGAATCTTAAACTTGAACTCAAATAATCTGATTAAAATTTAGAAATATATAAAAAAGACAATTTTTCATTGAAAAATGACATCTAAAATTATATTATGCAATGTTAAATAAAGGATGAAACAATTATTAAATTGAATCAGTAAATAAAATAATTAACTTATGAAATTTGTAAATTATTACTTTATATATATTTTTAGAATAAAATAAAAATGGATCAAACACATAAGTAAATGAATTATAAATACAAATCATAACTTTTTAATAAATAATTGTTAATTTAAAAGATGAATTGTTATTAAATTCTTAATTAATTGAAAATTTATAAAAAGAAAATGGATAATTAAGAAAAGAAATTTAAAATTATATTGATTAATTTAATTAAAAGGATGATTTAATTTAAAAATTAGAGCAAGAAATATCAGAATTAAATTAATATGTAGATCAATTAACTGAAGAAATAACAACAACATAATCTATTAAAACTTATGAAGAAGAAGCTAAAATTTGGAAAAAGAAGTTTAAAGAATTAAATGATGTTTATCATTCATGTTAAGAATAATTAATGGTAAAAGAAGCAGAATACGAATCATTGTAGAAATAGTAAAGTTCCTAAAGAATAGTAACATAAACTACTGTGGTCTAATAAAATAGTTCTAGATTTGTTAAAAATGTAAATTTAAACAATAATTTTTGAAAGGATTCCGATTTGATCTCGAGTAGTCTTACTTAAAATGATATTGAGAAATTACAAAGTTTATAAAAACCATTAAAATTATGATATTGAATATGTATGTCTTAGAATAATAAAATTATCTTATTTAATTTTCAATAATTGTAAAAAAACTAAATTAATAAAATACAATAGTATACTATTTTTGCATTCTATTTATAAGAATCAAATAAAAGTTTTGATTGTAATATTTTAGATAATAATATAAATCTCATAATGCTTTAAGTTTGGCATCTAAATCATCCAAATTCTCTTAAGGGTTTTGTTATTGTTGTGGCTATTGTTATTGTTAGATTGGTTGATTCATATTCATCATTTTTTATCCTCCACCACCAGTACCAGCTCCAGCTAATTTAGATTCAACTTCTTAGATATATTTATCAGCATTTTCATCATTATACTCATCTGCTTCTTCATTCATAATTTCTCCAATTTACTCTAATAAATAAATCTTAAGTTTACCTTACAAGAAATTCTATTTTTCACTCTCTATTGAAAACATCTCAATAGCCTATTAAACATTCTTAACATCAATAGCTGAATTTGCTTGTTTCATCATCTTTGACATTCCTGTCATTACTTATACTAATGTTTCGGTCGTTGCTGCTGAATTTAATCTATATTAAAATTAAATGCTTTATAATTACTAGAACATAACATCATTCATTTAAGCATCAAGTCTTTAATATTTTTGAATATATTGCTGATTCCGTAATAAATTTGCTGCAAACATTCTTTATGTTGCCTAAAATAATATAAAAATGAATTACCTTTGGTTCTTTTGCTTTAATAGCTTTTTCTAGATCAGTTTTGAGTTTTTTGCTCTACATTTCCATTCTCATTATTTCTCTATTAAAATCTCTTTACAATTTTCTAATTGTTCTTGAGAATTCTTTGACCATTTCTAATTGTTATACATATTAATATTTATACCCTTAACAGTCTTAGGTGGTTGAGGAGGAGGAGGAGGTTTATTGCCCATTTAAAATTTATGTAAAAAAATAATGAAGATTTTGCAATATTTATTTTGTGTTATATATTCTGTATATTTATATTGATTATTAAATTAATATGGAAATTGTTAATAATTTATAGAACATTTTAATGTTCAATAATATTAATAATGAATCAAAAATAATTTCCATTGAAATTTAAAAATGCATAATTACACCTACGTGATATTGATTCTTTAAATTAAAAATAATGGTTAACGGCTGAAGCAATATATTTTGGAATTCAATACTTTATTAAAGAAATTCCAAATGAAATTCAAGTCTTAGATCCTTCTTTAGCTACTTTTATTGTATTTGAAAATGATTTTGAAGATTTGTTATCCATTTAATAAGAATTAATTGGAAAGGAATACATTATTACAGCAATAAATGATTGTTAGAATCCTAGTGGTTCACATTGGGGAGTCATGCTATTTTATTAATTTTAATTTTATCTGTTTGATTCAGGATCAAATTCAAATTTATAAGTAATACAATAATTTTGATATTTAGAGTAGTGCTGAATTAATAGCCTAGAAAATGATTGCAATTATAAAAAATGATGAAACCTTAATAAATAAAGAAATTTAAGTGATTAAATATGATGGAGTACCTAAACAAACTAATTCTTATGATTGTGGAGTTTATTCTATTGCAATAATATGTAAATTAATAGAATCTATAACTATGAAACAGTAATGGAATTTTAAGAGTCTTACTCCTGATTATGTTACAAATATAAGATTAGAATTGAAAAATTCTATTTAATAAATGTTATAATGACCAGTTTACAATCATATTTGATTTTCATCAAAGAATTGTCTAAGTCTTGACAATAAGTCTTCTTTCACTTTATTTGGAATTGTTGCTTATCCTCTTACATACAACATATCTGTTAATTCTTCTATTGTTATTTTTTCAAGTCCTTTTTATCTAATTACTTCTTTACAGTAATCTTTTAAATCATCTCTCCATCTACATTCAATCAATTTTTATCTCAAATATTCCTCTAATCTTAATTTAATTAAATTTTTAAAACCTGGAATCTTCCCCTGTTTCTCTAAGTTTCTAGGCTAATAAATTAGTTCTTTAATTTATAAAATCACCAGCCAATCTTGATTATTGATTCATTAGTAATTAATTATATAATTTATAATTAAAATGAATCCTGTACTAAAGGGGGATTAACCATATTTCGAATAACAGCGAAAATCCACTATTAGTCCAGAAACTGGAAAGTAGATTTAAAATACACTTCATAGAAGAATCAATTATTCGTAGGCTGATTTAATTACTCCTATTACCATTAAATAAAATCATAAAAAATAAGCAATAAGTCAAGGATTACAATAATTACTTAAATCTAGCCCTTATTCAAAATTAATATCATAAAGATCATAATTATAATTATAATATTAAGATAATTTTTCATAATAGTATCTGAATGGCTATACTCCAAATCAACAATAATCTTAAGTATTGTTCAAACCTGATATAAAAACACCTTCTTTAAATTCTACTACTTCTAGCAGTATCAAGCCAAGAATACGTAATCATGCTAAAGATTCTTTATAAAAAAAATCATTTGATTCTTGCAATGCTATGTCATTTAGAGAAAAAGATAAATAAACTATTAATCAACTTTAAAATATAATATAGAGAACATCTATATTGTTATTAACATATAAACAAGAATTATAAAAAAATATTATCGAAAAATAGGATTTGATCAGGCAAATCGAAATTTTAGAACAAAATAAGATAACAAAATGATGAAAAATTATTATAAATTAATTTTTTCTATTTTCACCAAAATACTGACTATTAATTTTTGTTAGTTTATTTTTTAAACTTTAAATTCAATATTTTTCAAATTTTTTATAAAAAAAGAATAAATTATTAAGAATTATATTTTATCTTAAATCATAACTAAACATACAACTCTTTTAAAAGAACATTTAAAGATTAGTAAATTAGTTAAAAATAATATGTATTAGAATAATCATGCATCTATATCAAAAGAAGTTAAAACCTGTAAGGAATTTTCCTAAATTTTGTTGTTTTAACGACGAATTTCAGTAAAATATGAATTCATTTTATTTTTGGCATTATCTGGGTCTATTGCTTAAGTGCAATCCTTTAAAACTTTTACTTTATAACCTAATTTGAGGGCATCAATAACTGTAAAAAGAACACAATAATCTAATGCAAGTCCACCAACATAAATTGTATTCACATTCAAGGATTGTAGCTAAATAATTTAAATGATAATTACTATCTCATTTAGGTTTGTCTTATCTTCTTGGCATCCAAATCCACTATAACTATCATATTTAGAATTTGTTCCTTTTAAAACAGTTATATCACTATTTTCTTTTTAAATGTCTTTGTGTAATTCTGATCCATAGGTATTTTAGACACAATGAACTGGCCAAAGATTTTAAATATCATTCTAAGTTAGTTTATCCAAATTTGGATGATTTATTTTGAAAGAGACATGATCTTAAGGATGCCAATCTTTTGTGAATATCACATGTTTAAAGTATTTTCTGACTTTGTTGATTTTTGGAATGATTTCGGAAGCTTTTTGAACAGGAAGAGATCCTTCCTCACAAAAATCATTTTGAACATCGACAATGATAAGGGCAGAGTTTTCCATTTTCTTAATTTCTATTATGTTTGTAAAAATATTTTATTTATTATCTGAATTTCCAGAATAATGCTTAGTATATATACCTAAATAATGCATATTAAAATATTTTAGATTGCATTAGAATTATTAATTATTGTTTTTATTATCATTTTGCATTAGAATTTAATAGATGAAATTTATAACACCAAACAGTAATTGCTATTTTAATTTTTTTGGTTTATCAATTTTCAGAACGACCCTAATTTTTAAAAAATATTCAAAATTATATTACAATCAAAATGTTAAACAAACTCCCAAAAAGATTAGGTGTGGTATTTTAAGTGAGGAATTTTAATTAATATAATTTTATGATAATTTTCATGTATTAATTATCCAATTACTTATAATATAATGATAAATATAAAGAAGTGTTTAAGTAGTTATGATAGGAATATTTTATTATAACTTTCGCATGGAAGATTTTAGTGATAATTTAAATTATGGTATTTAATTATATTGACAATTTCTTCTCTGCGCCTACTGTAAATCAAATATTAAGAGATTAAATAAGAAAAAATCTCATTGATTTTTTGTCGTTATCATATGTTTTTATTAAAAATTAGGAATCATACTAATTTTGGATATTGATTATAAAAATAATAATATATATAATTATAATTTAAATTTAAAACTATGATAGAGATTCTAAGTGTTCCTTTTTTAAGAAGTTAACAGGAGATATTTTATTTTATTTAGATGAAATGAAATCCGACTTTGCTAAAAATCTTCCTTAAACAAATATAAAAGGTAGAGTATTAACATCTATGTAATTTACAATCTCAATAAATGTATAATGACTTATATTATTAAAATATAATAAGTAGATGTAAATTTCAATTTAAAGAATTCTTAGATAAGGGGACAGATGAATATTAAAATGTATAAGATTTTATGGATTTATTGAAGTAGTGTAATTAGAGTTTAGAAAATTAAAAAAATTTCATAAGAAAATATTTGGCTAAAGATCCTTCAAAATACTAAAGGATATTTGATTTGATGCTAATTTGTATTAATAATTGAAATGAAAATATGAAGAAAAAGTAAATGGAATTAAATATTGTATAATTTATAAACCATTATGTAAATCACAATGATTCTAATGAACTTTTTGCTTAGTATTTAACTTCTGCATCCTAATCATCACTAAGAGTTTATAAAATTTTTTTCATAGGATCTACAATATTTCCTCCTTTTTCTTTAGCTAATTAAATAGATGTTCTGCAAACATTGCTTCTAATATTAGCAACAGAATCTTTGGACATAGATTATAAGATAGGTACAATAGTTCTTAAGATGTAATCATTGTTTAATTAAGAAATAATATTCTAAAACATAAAGATTAGATATATACATTAATTGTAAATAGAACAGTTATTCTGTGAAGATAATTTTAAATCTATTGAAATGCCCAAATTTTAGTTAATAAGTGTTTATCTGCCCAAGCAAATCCAAGAATAGAGATCAATTAAGCAGTTTATTAGATTGCAGTTTATCTAACTGAGAAGACTTTATCACCCATCCAATCTAATAATAATTTCAAGACTTTATCAGATAAGAACTCTGGACCAATAGCTCTTGCAAAGAAACTCAAGACTTCAATGGTTGAAGCTCTTATTCTCCAATTTTTATCTTATGCTAATTCTGTTAATGCTGGAATAACACTTTAAGACAAGGAATCAACTCCAAGAACATTTGTAATAAGACTTAATTTTTTAAAGAGTGTTATTCTGACTTCAGAATCTTAATCTTTTAGTAAAGTTAAAAATATTGGTAAGATTTATTCACTTGTATTCTTTTTACCAATAATTGGACATAATGCTAAGACTGAAGATGCTAGAGCATCTTAATTTAATAAATCTAAATAAAATTACTTCTAACAAATGCATTAGTATCACATTGTATAGATTTCAATAAAGGTATTAATTTATTTAAAATATCTTCTGGATCCATTAAAATACAGACTCTTTCTATTTTTAATGCTGCAATAGATTTCATTTCAGGTTCTGTGTCTTGTAAGAATTTAAGATGATACATTTAAAAATTCTTACGATAACCATCTTTACTTAAAGCCTCACCTATCTTTTAATATTTAATGTTGTTATTACTTCAGCTAATTTATCGCATAAATAATATCTAACTCTCCATGATTAATCTTCAGCCAATTATTTAAACATATTGAGAATAAAGTTTTATTGTTTTTAGAAGAAGGGAGTTTTACTTGTTTATATTAAGGAATCTACAATGTACATTCTAATAAAGTCTTATTCGTCTTTAATAAAAGAATTTAGGATGTTTTAAATAAAAGCTTCATTTACTAATGGAAAATGTTTAACCAAATCCTAAATTTTCAAAATTTAATACTTAAAAATACATAGATGCAAATTTTCTCACTTAAGGAATTTGATCTTAAGACATTTTGAGATAAATATTTATCAATTCATTCTAATTATTCTATGAAACTTAATTAAAGATTGCTGGTATTAAAATTGCTACTGCATTTTTAGCCATATAATAATCGCTATCATTTAATCTCTTTATAATTCCTATTGACAATTCTTCTACTTTCTTTTATTCTGGAAGTTAAGTTAGACATTTTTTGATTTGATTAGCAGCCTTTATTAATTATTTATTTTACTTTTTCTCTTACTGAAGCATCTTCTACTCTACATAATACTTCAAATGTAGGCAGTAGAACTTATACTTATCCTCCAACAAACTCTACAAAATTTCTTGATAGTGAATCTATTAATTCTATCAATACTTCATCATCATCATCCAATAATTCTAAATTAGATATTTACATACCTTATATAAATGGAATCAGTTCATTTTTAGTTCTATCTGGGCCAATTGTACTTGCTATTAAATCTAAATGTTTGACTGAATGAATTCTTTTGCGTATATCATCACTTTTAAGTTCATCAATTATCAAATTTATTGGCATTCCTGTAGTATTTTCAATTTTGGGCATCTTTTAATTAATTTATTAAATACATTATTTTTTCTTTTGATTTTTATTTTAAATATTAACCGTTGCTATGTAATAAGGCTAAGTCAAAGTGATTGGTAATTACAGCTACAATCTAAAGCATTGTTTAGGAGAAGGTGCTTATGGTAAAGTTTACTAAGGACTTGATACCACTACTAATTTAAAAGTAGCTATCAAAAAACTTGATTTACGTAATTTTGAGAGAGATAATTATCTCAAATAATCAATCATCTAAGAGATTGAAATTCTCAAAAAATTTAATCATAAAAACATAGTTAAATTTATTGATTTAATTTCAACTCAAAGAAGTCTCTATATTATTACAGAATTTTGTAAAGATGGAGATCTAAGAGAAATTATGAGTAGAAAAAAATATAATGAATAAGATGCTTGGAAAATCATGAAATAAATTATATAAGGATTTCGTGAACTTGTATCCAATGCTATTATTCATAGAGATTTAAAACCAGCAAATATTCTTAGTCATGAAGGAGTATATAAAATTGCTGATTTTGGATTTGCTAAATATGTTGATAATTTTAGTAATTAATTATTAAGATCATGTGTTGGATCTCCACTTTATATGGCTCCTTAAATTTTAGCAAGAAAACCTTATTCTACAAAATGTGATATTTGGTCGCTTGGTGTTATATTTTATGAAATGGTGTTTTCTGATGTTCCTTGGAAAGGAAGAGATGAAAGAGATTTATTAAAAAATATTTTAAGTGTTCCTGTTTCAATTAAAAAAGGATTTCTAAATTCTAAATCTGAAGAATTTCTTAGGAAAACTTTAACTATAGAAGAAAATGATAGAATATCTTGGGAAAAAGTATTTGAAATGTTTGATGTTGTTAATCTTCCACCACCATCAGATTAGAGGATTCAAACTTCTCCAAATCTTAATATTAGAGTTAATAATCATTAGAGTTCATCAAATAATGAAAAAGAAAGAAAGAAATCTATATTTTAAGGACCATCATAATCTCCGATGCATTAGGCTTCAGCTCCTGTCTAACCTATTACAGTCTAACCTTAAACACCTTCTATTAAAAGTCTTAGAAATGAAATTATTTTTAGAAACTTTGTTTTAACAACTGAATTATTTCCTAGATATACATCCAACAAAAATAGTATTGTTGAAAAACTTATGATTTGTTTGAGCAAAACTAATATGTCTATGCAAAATAGTCTATACACTTTAGCTAATTAAATTATGGTACCAGCTATTAAAAAAGATCAGGATTAATATGTATTGTTTCATTCAGAGTTAATTGAAACTTTATCAAGAAATGGATAATTGTAACATTGTGATAGAGAACTAGATATTAATTCTAAAGAATTAAATTGCTCTGATACTGAATGTGAAAAGTTAAATACTATCTTAAATACATTAATTAAATAATTATGGTATCATTGTTTTTATTATTATTTCAAGTCAAGAAATGCTAGATGAACACAAAAGAACTCCATCTAGACCTATCATGTTATTATTAGATAATCTAGTAGATATCATTATTATACACAAAAAAGTTCAAAGGTGTGTCGAAATTGATTACGATTAATTGAATGCTGAAAAGGCTGAAGAAGATGATCCAAGAAAAATTATGGATACTGTTATAGAAAAGCTTAGATAAGCTTGATTTATTTTTCAATATTTTTTCTAGTGACAATCATTTTTAATCATTTTTCTTAACTTATATTTAATAATCATAATAATTTTATTTTTAATTAATTATAATCAAAAAAATATTTAGAATAAAGTAATTGATCATTCAAATTCATTTAAAACTTACTCTTAACATGATATCATTTTTATATAATATGTCATATGTGATTATATCATTCAAGATATAATTAAATTTACTTATATTATTAATATAATTCACTGAAATTAAATTATTTTTATTAATATATCTTGAAATCTTAAAATCTCATTTAAAATTCGGCAGCAATTGTTCTCAAAATTATTAAGTTTCAGAAAGAATTACAAAGACCCAAAAAAGATTCATTTTTTTTTAGAATGCCTACATTATCAAATCTTAAATTGATAGTATAATTGGAGATAAATTTGAAATCTTAAAAATTAAAAAAACGCTTATAAAATTTAAAATCAATTCCAATATTCTAACCTTCTACTTCATAAAAAGATTATAAGCTAAAAGTAATTCTCAATATCCCACCTAAAATCAAAATATTACATAGGAGAAATAAAAGAAAAAAAATAGATCCCAATAATATATATATAGAAAAAATGAAAAAAAATAGCTTCAAAAAGAAAATATTCTGATTTGTCTGAAAAAAAAGTTAAAGTTTAATAGGAAAAAAGAAAAATAAGTAATATTTGTGATGATTATGATATATTATTGGACCCTACTAAATTTAGATTATTATTGACTCCAAATTCAATTTAAAAAGAAAGCAATTAGAAATTGAAACTGACTCTCCTCAAAAAAAAATAAGTAAGATTTAAAGATTATAAATAAAAAAATCTAATTTATACCTGATTTAATTTATAAATACATTTTCATTTATTATTAAACTATGGAAGTTAATTAACTTTTATCTCTAATTCATTGCAATGCATTTCAACTTAATCATTATTTTTATTATTTCTGAATAATATAAATGTTTATTCTTTAAAATCTTAAGATTCAACTTAATACATATCTAAGTCCATTATGATTACAGAATATAAACACAGTAACTTTGACTAGATCCATTCGCTCTCAGAAAATTAATTATTTTACAAATTCCCTGCTGTAACTTTAGCCAGTGAAGATTTAACTTTAGGATACAATTGTGTGTATAAATATTTTTATGGTTACACTTTTGTACTATTTTTAACATCCAAGTTTAATTAAGATTCTAATTTCTATTTGGAAACGTTATCCATTGTATTTATTACAGAATTAGCCTTTTCTAACATTAATTAAAATTCATTCTCTATTTTTTAATTCTATTAAATTATTGTAGTTATCATTGTTTAATAATTAGTTGAGGTTTTAAAAATAGAGAAATCGCTTAGATTGAATATATTCTTTTCTTTCTATATATTTTAAAGAAATAGTTTTCTAATAACGAAAGCCCTCTTATATTTACTAAAATTAATACTTTGTAAACTACTGTTAATGGAACAATCCATTATTTCCCCTAATAACTTAATTTTTCATTCAAGTCATTTACTGTAATGATTATATAATCTATAATTTATAAATAATGAAAATATCTAAAATAGAAAAAAAAAATACTTTCTCTTAAAATCATCAAATTTTTCACTTAAGTCATCTGGTTTTAGAAGATTCTTTGCAAATTAATCTTAAGAATTATCAACTTTTGGATCTTATTTGTTCTAAATTTCTTAATTTTATTCTATTTCATAAAATGAATCAATATTTCCTTGAAAATCATTTTTATCTGAATAAGTATTCTGATATTTTAGTTAGTTTTCCTATAATGGTTTTTTAAAAATTTCTTACTTTTTACCCTAAAATTATTTGTTACATTATTTATTTTAAACTAAATTTAACTCAGGATCAACTTATTATGAAAAAAATAAATCATCTATTTTATCTTCATCATTGTTATTAAATTTAACTGCTGCAGATATCTTTAATTTAGTTTATTTAACTTCCTTTTATTAATTTATTTATTAATTAGATAATTCCTCCTTTATTTCCAAGTTTAAGTTTTAATTGTCCAGCTATTTTTCAGTTTTTATATTTTATTGACTTTAAGAAGTAGTATTAGCTTTATCAATATATGTTTACCCATTTTGCGAATTTGTATTATAAAATTTATTGAAGCTTAAGTTTGGAACATTTAAATAAGAATTATTATGTTATTATTAAATTTATGGATTTTTTAATGGTGAATTCTTTATTGAATTTTTTATTATTTTTTATTCATTTAAAATTTAATTATCTATAGGTTTGGTCACTATAATATCTGGTATCATAATTGCATCTTAAATAGTTTGAGGATTCTTCTCAATTTGAGAATTCTTAAATTCAATATTTTCAACTTTTTATTATATCTTTTATTGAGATGAAGAAGGGTTCTAATAAAAGAAATAATTAGAATTTAATTTATTCGAGATTGTAACTTATTTTGAATTATTTTAAACTGTTCCATTTTGATAAAAAGATTCCTAAGTAAATATTCCTTTTTAAATATTATTGCTTGATTATTTTTTATTTTATAGATTTTTAGCTACAATTGTAGATGCAAAATCATAAGATGAACGTATAGATTTTGAAATTGGAACTTATCTTTATTATTTTAAAATTGCTGCTCTTACAGATTAATTATGATTTGAGGTTTAAAAATTATGTAATTATTGATTATTTTAGATAATAGTTTATGATGAATTATAAATAGTTTAATTTTGAGAAGGAATTTTAATATTCGTGAAATCAATAACACTTAAACTTTGCCTTTTCACTTATTTCTTAGAAAAAAACATTTACCATTAACCAACTTCTTAAAATGTGGGTCGTTTTGTTGTATCCAATATAACCATTTTAAGAATACATTCTAAAATATCATAATTAATGGAATTAGTTTCTGCTTCTTATTTGATAATATATTCGATTTAATATTGATCTTTACATGACTAAATCTTTTCACTTACATTCTTTTTACAATTAAGGTTTAAGAGCAGCAAACCAAATAGATAAGTTTTTGTTTTTGTTGTATATGCTATATCTCTATGTTTTTTTATAACAAATTCTCTTATTCCATAATCTAAAATATAGATTTAGCCTTCATATAGAAATATATAGTCTGGGTCGAAATCAATATTCCCTTCTAAGATGGAATATTATTAATACAATTATAAATAATAGAATTTCAACTAGTCAATCTTAATTTATTATTCTAGGTTTATCCAAAAAGCACTCTCTTAATAAGAAATTAGAATGAATTCTTTAGATTCTATGTTTTCAGATACAAAATCGAACTGTTTTTCTCTGAAATAAATTTGATCAACCATTTCTTTTGTTAAGTATTATTTAGGAAATATATGCAACAAATATACTTAACCATTTTTATGCCTTCCTCTATATAATTGTTAATAAGGTGATAATTTATTGATTGGCAACTCAATTTCATAGGAACTGATCTTCATTCTAGATAGCTTTTAAGTAATAAATTATATAAATTTGTGAATAATTTTCATTTTATCAAAGTAACTAACCAAGCACATAATCTAAATGATCATATTATCAATCATTTAAATTTACAGAATTGAATAGTTAAATAATCAAATAGTCTTTAGAAGCCAATTTTTATCAACACTCATATCTTTGGTTAGATACATGTGATGGTATTTTACTATTTTCAATTTACCAAGATTTTCAACATTATTTCTGGAGGAACTGATTAAAATGTGATATATATTTTTAGATCTATCTAAAAAAATGGTAGATCTCAAAAAAATTATTTTCGATATACCACACAAAAATTATTTTTACCCATTAATCATGATGATTGAAAAAAAATTTTAAAATTGCTACCCTGCTTCAGTAAACTAATGTTTCTAGTTTAGAATATTGTTTAAAAGTAAAAACTAATTAGGTATTCTACAATACACTCTGCTTGCTCTAAGAATGCATCCATTTTTTGCTAAGAATTGATAAATTTTCTTAATTATATCCTCTAATTTAATCATATCAGTTTTTATAATTAAATTAAGATTAGTAATTGCGGAAGTTCATTTATTTTGAATTCATCAAATTTTTAGTTTTTAATTTACAATCCCTTACAACAAACAAATTATAATTAGATTTAATAACATAATATTATAAAAAATTAAATAATAATAAATTGTTTTGAAGCATTCTTTTATCAAATAAATATCATTTAACTTAAAGAATATTTATTTCTTTATTTTACTAAAATATTATAATTAAAAAAAATATAAATGTTTTCTAAATAGCTCTGGTCAAATGATTTATCTAATTAAAAGAATTGATCATTTTTTATGTTAAATGATTTAAAGCATAAATTAATGGGGATAATAATAAATTTGAATGAAAAAATGTTAAATACAATAATTTAATATATGGTATGATTATTCTTAACACATCATTTTCTTAAGGCTTAGAAAATCTTTAATTTTTCCAAAGGACCATGTTATTTCAATTTGTGGACATGTGTACCATAGTATTATAATTCATCCTAAATAATTAATTAATGATAATACATTAGCTTTATATTTAAGATAGTCAGATCTGAAATAGTTAGTGAATCCCCATTTAGCTGAAACAACAATCTTTTATCTTCCTGGAAACTTATTCTTTCCTCTTCTTAATGCTTCCATAGCATGATTAATTGATGCATCTTTGCATCTCAAGGAATAGAGAATGCTACCAATTTTAACTCTGGCACATAAACCATTAGGTTTACCAAAGGCACCTCTCATACCAGTTTAAAGTCTATCTGCACCAGCACATGAAAGCATTTTATTGATTCTGAGTACGTGCCATGG